TACCACACACTTACTAGATCCTGGCATTGTAACTGTTCTTTAAATAGTCGTCTCAGTAACAAAAAAAGCAAACTGTTATAGCTAAAAGGTAACAGCACACAAGTATGACAAGGACCCCATAAATAAGCAAGTTTTGAATACAGCGAGGGGAGCAGAACTGCCTGTCTGAAGGTGCTAGTAGGACCAGAAAAGCTCTGAGAAAGTTCAGCACAAACAATCAGTGCTGTCTGCTACTCTACCTGCAAAGGAGTAACTGAATTGCCTAAAACTGCCCAGGCTGTTAAGAGACATGACTGGGATGAGGATGGAGAAAGATGACAGAGACCAATGAAAGCCATGTGGTTTGGAGAACAGCTGCAGCAGTTTAAGTACAGCACAAGTTTCACAGCTTCTGCAGCTGCTGGTGAGGCCAGAGGGATGAAGTTTGCACTCCTGGTAGCAGCTCACTTCCAGCTGTGCTGTCCAGGCCCTCCAGCAGAGGTCACAGAAGACAGCTGGCAGTAGCAGCTCCAGAGCACAGTCAAGTTTCAGAGCCTGAGTTTTGCTTTTGCCTGCTATCTTATAATGAATGCAGCAACTCCCATCCACTGATAAAGCAGTTCCCAGAGGAACTTAAATGCTGCTGATAAAATATTTAGGGTAACGTTTCTTTTTTCCCCAGAAACTTTATCACAGTGTAACTTCAGCACTTTGTAGATGGCATTTCAAAGCAGTATTGGAGCAGAAAAACTACAGACAAAAAAATGGCTTTAACAGAAGAGACTGTAATAGTTAAAAAGAGGGGCAAGTTTTACTTAAATACCCATCCTGAGTTTTCTCAGGAGGAAGAGTACTTGCTGTATCTTAAGACCAGTTACTTTCACAGGTACAGACCACAGCTTTCCATAGACTGTTGTCAATATTTGCAATTGCTAGCAATTAATTTTAATACTTTGAAATATTTAACCTATAAAGCCCAAAACACAGAGTTCTTGATGCCTGGTCTGTTTGTTTCAAGACAACTCACTAGTCCACACAAAACCATTCCAGGACAGTTGTTCTTCCAAGCCTTTTCCCCCCACCCCAGGACAGAGGATTTTTGATAAAAGGCTCATAACTTCAGCAAAAACAGGCAAGCAAGATCCCATTCTCCTCAGCTGTCAGACACCCATGGCATTCATCACAGCAGCCCAACTCGCAGTTCATGTCAGAAACAGTTCTGAGTTACACAGTTTAGGTAACATCTGAGGAATTTTTGATATCCAATTTCAGAGGGAAACAGCTGGACTGCAAAAAAAATGCACATGACAAGTCATCAATGACATAACTCAAATAGTGCACGTTTATTCTGAATGGTATTACTAAAGAGTTTGAGAAAAACAAAAACATGCTCCTGATGTACAACAAGGGCAATGATATCAATTAAAAATGGACCATCTTATTGTAATGAATTTGCTCCCCCTGCAACTTAACTTGTAACACTGATAACACACCTGTACACTGCATACAGCATACCTCTGACCAAATCTTAACTCAAGAGACCAGGGGTGGTCTTAGCCAAATTAATCAGGAAGCAGTTGCAGATTGAAAAGAAACATCCAAGTCAGCAAACACTTTACAAAACACAGACTTTGTGCATAGCAGCTGACTCTGGATTACAACACGGAAAAACAATTTGGGGGATCAAATTTTTTACTAGACACAGGGCACCATCGAGATTTAACAAAATATCATATAAGTTTGTTTCAACTGCAACAGTATGTCATATTTAATGGGCAGATTTAACCATTAGCTGCCTCATGTAAACTCAGTCAGTTTCTGCATACACAAAATAAATTCTCTCCTTTCCCCCTCCCAAAAATGAGGGATCTCTCTCCTGGATGCTTCTTTTTCCCCTGTACCATGGTTTCCTCAAGTAGGCATCATTTTGTAGATAATATCTTTGTACTTCAACCAACATATGACAAAACCAGTTGCAAAGATTCACGAATAACCCATATATACATAATTTACACTCTGGGGCTGTCGGTTGCATACATTTTTCTTGTTAGATCTTAATCCAGAACAGGAAGTGCTGGTGGTTTGTTTTTATTTTTTTTTCCCCACTGAAACTCCCAATTTTTTAAAGATTTTTGTTCATAAGCTGTTATTTTCAAGCTAAAAGGAAGACCTGCTGCAGCAACAACCGAAGTAAATAAGTTTACTGCAGTAAGCCTGTACTCCACACAAATTCAGTGTCTCTGGGTAACAGGATTCTCTTCCCACACTCAACACAGCCAATGTGCTGACAAAATACAACTGTGTCACCCAGATTGACTGACCTTTATCCATGTACAGGGAACACACCTTTCTACAAGATATAGATGAAACCTTGTACTCAACAACTGTTTTCCAGGATTAATAGCCTGGGGAAAGGAGTCTTTGATTTGCGGTTACTCTCTTACACCTCCTACAAAACATTTTATCAGAAGTTACAATGAGGCAGGTTTGCTGTGGAATAGGAGCTTTAAGAATTGTTCTCAGGGATACATTCATAGAATGATGGCAGCCCAAAGCAAAAAGAGATAGAAACAAAGGTTAATCCAAGTAAGTTCGGACATCAGACTCATACTTTTAAACCTGAAGGAAAACTGTCTGTGAAACACACCGATTTGTGGAAGCCTACGACAACAGCAAATCCTAAGAGTTCATATCCCCACACCCATCTACCCAACCCAAACACTTACCATTTAGTTCTAGAAGAATGAAGAGCACTTTGCTTGGCACCAGAGGCAGCTATGGTCAGAGTTACAGCTGTGCTGCACAAACATCCTCAAATACAATACTATCTCTCTCCCTCCACATACTTCTCTTGGTCTGGTCTACAGATGGCCAGGGAAACTATGCTGGCATACGACAAGCTAATTGTGCTTCAATACATCTCCTTCTAGAAAGATGCTGGAACTGCCAACATAAACAGTGCAAGCAGGTCCTAGCAGTACTAAAAAATAAGCTTTTATCAAAACTAGGCTGCCTCTGGCCAAGGAAACTGTTTGCATCTTTCTAGCCAGAGTCTGCCACCAAGTTGCCAACACAGGTGGCTCAGGCCTTGCAGAGGGGCTTTTGTTGTTAGCCATCTGCCCACCCCCAAGAGTCACGTAGTGCAAACCCAGCAAATGAAGGATCCATTTCCCAGCAAAAGTCTGTCAAGATGCACTCCAACAAACACTATGCACCTCTGGGAAGGGAGAAGTAATTCTGGAGCAGCTCGTATAGTCACCCCTCAGGTATCAAAAACCATACCATGTGCAATAAGGGGTGCCATCTCTTGCCTCACCACAACTCCCATCTTGAAATCCTTGATTCCCAAGTCACCCTCGAATGACTGGACAGCACCTACTAACCAGATGGATGCTGCAATGCACACTATAGGTTGGAGGCTTTCAAAGCGGATGAATTCAAGATGCAGATTAAACGTTAAAAAACAAACAGGAAAGGAATGCAGTTCAATATCTGCTTGGGGGACGGGGCAGGTTGGTGTTGTCTCAACTCAGTGCACTTTCCCAGGTGCTTGGAGAAGAATCCAAGCTCAAGTTGGTATTTGTATTGGCATACGTAAAACCACTGGCAACAGCGCGTAGAAAGGAGCACTGATACTCACGCAAACAAAGCATGAAAGGATGTAAAGCAGAGCTTAGCAGAGTTTACTGTAGCTTCAAGGTTACAGTACTAGGAAGCAGCCAGTCAGCCTATTTTCCAAACCCATGAAATGCTCTAATATGCGCCGCTCCCGCCGGTGCTCCGTGGAGGGGCTCTGGGGAGGAGCGAGCCGCATCACCCCCACGGAGCGGGGAACGGGGAAAATCATCTTCAAAGGAGCAAACCGTGCAGTTCTCCACCACCTCCTCCCGAAGGAGCACAAACACAGCAAGCCAAGCCAATCCCAAGTGAATCCAGGAGACCCCTGCAAAGCTACGTGATTAGGGTCACATTGGTGTTTGCCTTCTCAGCCTTGCTGCCTGGTTTCCTCAACCCTTGCCTTGTCCCAGACCTATCACCACAGATTTAGTAGCTGTAACTAATCTATCTGGAGACAGGTGCTCACCTTATATGACCAAAGCTGGTAAGGTGGTCAGTCACTTTTCCCATCCCAACACCACATATAAAACTAACTCTCAATGGGCCCTACTGCATTTTCACCCATTTTTAAAGCAAGAGTCTTGCCTCGGGATTCACATTTTTCCAAGGTTACTCTTGCCAACCCCAGATCTAGCTCTTACTCTGGCAGAAGTCTGCTGGGAGTTGGGAAAACAAAACAAAAAACAAAAAAAAAGATAAAAAAAGAAAAAAAGACCACTCTAAACCCTCCTCTCAGTCAGTTAAGAAGTGTAGCACCAGCTTGGGTGAGGAGTATTTAAAAAAGCATTCAAAAAGATCAGCCCAGGCAGAGCGAAAAGGTATGGTAAAGTAGCCCACCCTTCTCAGCAAAAGATGAAGGAAAAAGCCATACTCCAAAATACTGGGAAGAACTAAACATACTTTTTTGAGGTGGGGGGAATTAAGAGGAAGATTGGGAAGTACTGAAGTAACATTCAAAGGTTGGGGGGGAGTTAAGTACCCTGTAGGTTATAAAAAACAATAATGTAGGAGTCAAAGGACAAGATATTGCTTTTCCTTTTTTCCCCCCATTGGATTTACATTCTGCTTACTGAAAGAGATAATTCTGAAGGAAACTTGTCATCAGGATAACCTGCTCAAGCCCTCCACACCTCAAACTTAAAAGAGATCTGCACACTTTTTCCCACTCCACCCCCAAAAAAAACTAAACCAAAAACCCCAACCCAAGGAAAAAAAAAAAAAACAAAACAAAAAAAAACAAACAACCCCAGAAAGGAGAGCTCAAAAAAGAAAAACCCCAAACATGACTGGACAATCCTTGGAAGAAGCATTACATTTTGTTGGAGAGAGGTCAAGGAAAAAAAAACCAAAATAAAACCAACCAAAACAATTAAGAAGATGAAGGGGTGGAGTAAAAATAAAAGAAAGAAAAAAGTCAAGAGGCCTCTCTTTCCTTATTTGGCGACAAGCAAGTGCAAGAAAGTGTTCGTCGGGGGCTTGTTCAGTTGTCGGTCTTTTGCACGTCTGGGTTCTGGCCCAGAGAAGGGGCTCTGAGGTTCTTCTGCAGCACGTGCGCGTCTGCGGGCTCTATCCTCTTGTAGTAGTTCTTCTTCGTCTCAATGATCTCAAAGCCAAACTTCCTGTAGAAGTCAATTGCAGACTCGTTGCTGATCTGGACGTGCCTGGGACACGAGGAGGAGAGACAGACAGGTATCAGAACTTGCTGCAGTGCAGTATTCTACCTCTACACTCAGACCTTAGCAAAGACAAGATCAGAAATGGAGCTATCCAGATAGAGACAGGAATGATGGTTTCAGTTCAGGACTGCAAATTTTGGTCTTCCCAAATCAATCCTGAGCTAATGTGCAGCTCCTGGATGGCCTGTGGCAATCACTCTGAGAAGCAGCAAATGTTTCCCCCAGTAAAGCTCTTTCAAAGAAACACAAATGGCAGAGACACTCAGAAGTATTACTAGCTCAGTAATTGCCATTTTTCTAAATCTGAACATGGCAGATATTTTCTGGAAATATACAAAGTTTCACTGTAGAGCCAATTTTAACTTCCTGTAGTGACACTTCTTAGATGACCACACAATTTTAACCCCTTCCTCACTTCTAACTAGCCCTCTCTCTTCACACAAAGCTATAGCAACACAAAGACCACCTATGGTCTCACAAAGTCCTTTGCACTTTTACTTATCTCCTGCCAAGTTTTACAGATCTCACTAGCATATTCCAAGAGTTTCAAGGCCTCCAAAACAAACAACCATCAGTTCTTCCTCCTAAGCAACTACAACATTTATTTGCAGAAGTTCTACCATTAAAGAAGAAAAAAGAAAATCACTGAAGATGTTTGGCGCAGCACAAGGCATTCATTAAACACACTCAAAATTCAATGGATGCTGCACAAGCTTATGAATCATTCTGTCATGACAACATGCTGCATAACCATAGAACCAAAGCAACTCTGGAAGCAACAGCAGAACAAAACAAAAGATCTTAGTGTTAAGCCAAATAAGCACCAAACAGCTAAAAGGGAACTTAATAATAATGACAAATTTAGGCACTGCTATGAAATTGGGTGCCAACCTGCACAATATATTCAGACAGAAGACGCACAAGCAGCAGATGCAGTGATAAAATCAATGGGCCACTAAAAAACCCTTTGTTAAGCACAACTTGGGGGCTATTTATTGCCATCCCAGAATCTTACTGTGAGAAGTGGAAAGCGGGATTATGAAGGATTTGGTTTTTGCATTAAAACCAGCAAACAGTTCCTTCACTGTGCACAGGAACGTGCAAAAGCAAAAGGGAAAGCCTGTGCCAGCTAGCAGGCATCTGAGGATTCATTAGCACCACTTCTGAGGCAGGAGAGAAGGAATACAAGCCAAAAGCAGCTTTCCTCAAGCTCCTCTTTAAAACACCTGCTCATCTTACAGAGACAGCACAAAGCTACAGCAGCAGAGGACTTGGAAGACCTTGCACCTCAATGGCACAGGTGGACAAAGCCTGAGGAGAAAGTCACTCCATTTATAGTGACATCATTGTATGAAACACTCCTCACCAAGCATCTTCAACAGCCCTGGCAAGAGTTCAGGGTGCAGTTCTGTGGCTGCTCCAAGCCACACCTGCTGTGGGACTATCCCTACTAATGCACTGTGCTTGTACTGGTTTAAGCCAGCAGAAATGGACAAGGAAGAAGCTGGTTCAGAGAAGTGATCTGGCCAAAAACTCCATCAGCTCACCTGGTAGTCACAGACACCAATGCACAGGACAAAGCAGAAGTGTAGAGCCAGCAGTGAAAAGGAAGCAAAGCTTTGCAGCTGTGGATTTCAGGTTCTATGCCCACGGGGATGCATTTAGGATGACTGTGCTCCTTAAAGCAGCCCTGTCTTCCACCCCAGTGCTTGTTCTTATGTCTGCATCATCCCACATACTTATGCAGGGATGCAGTAGGCTTAAATCAACAAACAGCCCCTCTCCCAAAACTGCACTAAAACAAAAAATACCCAGAACAAAACTGAGAACAGCTTCCCCAGCTGGGTCATTGACCTAGTTTACTGTGTTGCTGCACAAACAGCTAAGAAGGTAAGAAAGGAAATAAGAAGTTAGGCCTTGCCACTGATTGTGAACCTAGAGTACTTGCAAGCACCTCTGATCTGATGTTCTAACCAACACAGTACTGTCATAAAAGACAGACAGCAAATGCATCAGAACTGCAGGCAAGACCTGCAGTATTTGCCATTCTAAGGACAACACTGTATGGTAAAAAACAACTTTCACAAAAATGTTTTTAATCGTACACTAATTCTGATATAGAATGTTATTCTGTAATTAAATTACTTACAAATTCAGCAATTTTGCAGAAGCCCTTCTAAAGCAAGCAAGCTTTTGGTTTTCTCAGCATCACAAAACAAGTCCAAAATATGACCCCAGCTTTCTTACTAGCACTTACAATATGTCCCATGACCCCACTGAAACATGTATTAAAAATGCTCTTGGATCTTCCTCCCTTTGCTCCCATATATGCCCCTATCATCTCTCCAAAAACACGTGATTGTAGCTTATTTACTTACAGATAGATGTTGTCAAAGGTGCCATCTTTTTCACAGATGTTTAAGACATGATTCAACATTTTCGTTCCTGCCAAAAGGTAATGAGATACTTAAGAAAACCAGAAGAGTACAATCAAGTCTGTACTTAACTAAGGGCTTTCTTGAGGAGAGGCAGGTTAACTACAGGTGGCTAAAATGACAGAGCCTGCGAGAACTAAGAAAGGAAAATACAATATGGTGTATAAGTATTTCACCATCTTTCTGGCTGCTCATAAAATTTAATTCATTCTTTCTTTGGCAAAAAAAAAGCCAACAAAACAACAGTCCAGAAGCATATGTATAAAGCAGTTTATTTATATACTACCTTCAAGGTCTCAAACTCACCTCAAAATATCATCAAAGCAATGTATGAAGCAGTAAGAACATTGGTATTTTTTTCTAATAAAGATGTATTGAAACAATTTAAAATAATATTTTCTTTTCATTCCTGTTTATCAAAGCAAACATTACTGTAAGGTCTTGATTAATCTGGCCTATAGATTTGCAACATGGAGGAAAAAACTAATTGCTGTGTAGACAGAAAGCAAACAGGTACTACCCCGAGCAACAATTAGTAGTGATAAAAGATTAAATAGAAAAAAAACCCTACATTTAGAAAAGTGAAGAGAGACCCCCATGAAGGAATGTTGTGTAGTACTTATACATGACTTGCATAGTGGCTACATACCTCTAACAAGTTATTTTGTCCCTCTGTGCATCAACTTTCACAACTATGGAAGCAGACTATTTATATCACAGTACGGTAATGTGATTAAGATTATTTTAACCTGAAGTCCTGAATTAGAAAGTTATACAAGAAGTCCACTTCTGAAAGGCAGGTAAAACAG